CCCCAAAACCCCAAAACCCCAAAACCCCGAGAAAGGCCTTATTACATTAAATATAAACTTTAAATATGAACAAGTGTCATACATAAACCAAAATTTATTTCAGACATTTATTCATATTTCTCTTAATACTATTCTATTACACAACTTGTGCTGAGGCACAAGTAGATGGGTACTGGAACATGACTGTGAGAGAAAGAGCTGAAGCACTTGGGTTTGGATACGAGGAATATCAAGTTACCACTCAGGATGGTTACATCTTGACATTGATGAGAATTCCGAACGGGCCGGAAAGTCCATCTGATATCATAAATAAAGAGCCTATCTTGATGTCTCACGGTGCCTTTGCAGCTGCTGAGATTTTTACAAATCTTGGAGAGGTTGATTCTTCATCCTTCTATCTTGCCAACCAAGGCAAGGATGTCTGGCTGTATAATATCCGTGGTAACATATACAGTCGCGAACATGTCAGCTTAGATCCAGCTTCCGATGATGAATATTGGGAATTCTATATGGACACAGTAAGGTATGACTATATGGCGTGTGTAGATTTCATACTAGATATCACTGGATACTCTCAGACAGCAATTTTAGCTGATTCTCTTGGAGGAGCAACGCTAGGAATTGCTCTAGCTCTTGAGCCAGAATATTTTTCATCAAGAACATCTATCGTTATTTTGATGACTCCAGCTTTGATGATGAGACATACTAATGCTCCTATATATACTCTATTGGGAAATTACCCATGGATTCTTGAGACTGTGAGGATGTTAGGAGTAAATGTTGTTGGAGATGATAACTATCTAGCCAGGGAAATCTCTCACCAAGCTTGTCTTACGATTCATCCTGTGTGCAGTTTACTTTTCTCCCTTTTTGTTGCTGATAAAAATCCATCTGCCCTTGATGATGATTCGATGGACATCTTCTTGCCTAGATCCTTAAACGGGGTTGCAATCAGAGTATTGGAGCACTTGTTTCAAAGCATTAGAACCTCACAGCTGACTTACTTTGATCTTGGTGTTGAGAGAAATCTCGAAGCTTATGGAACAGAACTTCCACCTCAAATTCCTTTGGAGAATATTAATACTCCATTAGCTCTTATGTGGGGTGAATTTGATGGCACTATTGTTGAGCATGACGCGCAATGGATGAGAGAGAGGCTAGATGCCAATATCATCTTCGATCATACATATGAAGGGTAAGTAATCCTTTAATTTTTATTTCATTTTGAAAGAATGCTAGACTTCCTGTATAACAGTTACGATCGAAAGATAATAATTATTCTACTCAATGCAAGATAAATACGTAACCTTAATTTTTTCTTTAGACAAACGCATATAACATTTCAGATGGGTAATGATATTGAAGAAATTAATGAAGACATAATAGAATTGATGTCAGAGTATCCTGCTTCTAGTCCTAATACTTAAAACCCAGTTTTGCTTAACAAATAATACTTTGTATGTTTTCAATTTATCTTTTCTATCATGGGGTTTTGGGGTTTTGGGGTTTTGGGG